GTCCTTGCCAAGTTTTGCTGCCGACTCAAAGATTTTTTAAACTTTCTGGTTTGACATTTTTCTTTTTTAGTGCTTCTTATTCAGCACCAAGAAGACGACTTCGGATTTTCTCCAGAAGCTTATGAAATAATTGATCCTCTCTTAAAAGAAATTTGTCGGGAAGCACTTAAAATTTACTATCCAACTAACAACCCTAATTCCCTTGATGCTGATATACTTAGTTTTTTTGGAGGAGATGGAGACTCGGTTGGCATTAACTCAACAACAAGCCAACACCTTCGTACTCGACCTGCCATTAATGTAGACTATTTTGAAGGAAAAGGAAAGAAAAGTTGCTGAGTAGCAATAAACAAAGCAAAAATGCCTGAAAACGGTTATGAATATGATGAGTCAACCATTTTTTTGAATCGAGCCCACTGAAAAAAAAGTGAAAATATTAATGAACTGCTAAACGACAACGAAATTATTAATAGCAGAGAAAAGGAAAAAGAAAACCCGCTACCAAACAAAAATTCCACTGAACAAAATAGTTCTAATAATCAATCCCAAACTCCCCTGACTACACAAACTATTCAATTTAAGATTAAAAGTACCTGAAGAGACGATCTTGAACCCGAAATTAACTTTTTCTCCATTACTTTAGAAAGTCCTATTACTGTGAATGAAAAGCAAGTTAATTTAATAGAAATTACCGGAAAAAAAGCTAATACTGCTTATCAAAATGGTGATTTACGAACTGGAAACACCATTACTATCACCAATGTCAAACTTTCTCCCTTTCAAGCAGAAATAAACAACTATAAAGAATTGTCAATTGGTAAACATTATGAAGAAATTCAGGTTGTTTCTTCAACTTCTCCTTCTCCAGATAGCCCTCCACCTCCAGCATTTTTTCCCGAGGTTAGACAAAAAAAATCAAGAACTTCTCGACCAAGAAAGAGAGATGACTGCCCTAGCTGAGGAACTCCTGAAAAATATTGAAAAAAAATCAGGAAGTTTGCCAAGAAATTAGAAAGTTTGGACTAAGACCCTTAGAAATTTCAAATGATGCTTTGTCCTACTTCCAAGAAGAATTTTTTACCAAATTAAATGAAGAACTTGCTTTAGAAAGTCCAATCAATCGTGAAATCAGTGACTATAACGAAAGGATTAGACAAAGGAAACTAAGTATAAAGAAAGGTATCTATCGAATACTTAACAATAACAAGCAAAGGCTATTAGAAGAAAAAAACAAGGATCGTAACTCACCCCCTAAACCTGAAGCGCCTGATAGAGAATTAAAAGAAACAAGCAAACAAGTTAAGGAAGAAATAAACAAACTCCTAAATAGCAAAAGCAGTTTACAAAACATTGAGTTGAACATGCTTCTAACCAATGGCAAATATCAAAATTGGGAGGAAGAGATCGAGAAACTGTCCACTAAAGAGGAAATATTGACTTATCGGAACGCTTTTTTAAAAGTTCTTAAAAGAGTGGGAGTAGGAGAAAATAAAAATAACATAAGCAATGCTTCTACACTAAAGGCAGCTCGAAATATTGCTGAAGAAAGAATTAGAGAAGCACTAAAAAAGAAAAATGTCAAACCAGAAAGTTTAAAAAATCTTTGAGTCGGCAGCAAAACTTGGCAAGGAC